CCACGTTCTTTAACCTTAGAGCTTGGCAATCATGTGCACTTGTAACACTCATCCATGAGGTGAGTTGCTCATCCATAAAACGTACCAAATATACTAGATTGCCTAGTTAATTTGGGAGACAGGCAAAATGTCTTGTCTTCTGTGAAGCTGACACTTTTTTTTTTTTTTTTTGAGACAGAGCCTCAAGCTGTCCCCCTGGGCAGAGTGCGGTGGCGTTGCTCACAGCAACCTCCAACTCCTGGGCTCAAGCGAGTCTCCTGCCTTAGCCTCCCAAGTAGCTGGGACCACAGGCGCCCGCCACAACGCCTGGCTATTTTTTGGTTGCAGCCATTGTTGTTTGGCGGGTCCGGGCTGGGGATTCGAACCCGCCACCTTAGGTGTACGTGGCTGGCGCCTTAGCCGGTTGAGCTATAGGCGCCGAGCCGAAGCTGACACTTTTACTGTGGCCCATATTAAGCTTCTCTTTCTGACTCCTTCCCAGCAGTTACCACCTCTCCAGCTCATATTTATAGATTAGTTTCACTTGTGTATCAAGTTGCTTTCCTAAAAACATTTTTTTTTTTTTTTTTTTTGGTAAAGATGGAGTCTAGCTATGTAGCCCAGGCTGGTCTCAAACTCCTGACCTCAAGTGATCCTCCCACCTGAGCCTCTCAAAGGGCTGTGATTACAGGTATGAGCCACTGTGCCTGGCCCCAACTTTCTTCTATTGTGCTTGTAAACTGTGAAGGTTTAATGGTTTTGATTCTCCAAATAGGTAGGAATATAAAAAGAATTGGTTAAATTTAAATGGAAAGCAGCTCAACTGGTCACATTACATTTCCCTTTATTATTATTGACATTTATCATACAATGCTCCTATTTCAATTTTTAATGCAGACAAAAAATGATATAAAGTACATACTGCACTTTGATACTTTTCAACATACACAAAATACAGAGTAATTGAAACTATGTTACATGGATATTTTACAAACAAAAAAGTGACTACTATCATAACACATTCAGATAAAATTTAATATTAAATTGTGGCTACTATATGATGTTAAATATGGATATATTTAAAACAATTACGATTTATAGAGCCAATTTGATATTTTACTATTTAAAATAATGGCTACTATGTAAATGGTACTTATAAAAATATTTTTAAGCAAAAGCTATCTTCTCATTTACTTGGTTGGCAGTTACAAAAATATATATTCATCTGAAACTCTAATAAGTTTGCTTGAGGCATTAGATTTTCAAATTCAAATTCAAAAGCATGTTACCCATTTAGTATTCTTGGCTACCAACAGCATATATACATCCGCGGAACTAGGAAAGGTTTGTGTTACAATAATGCAATTTTAGGTAAAAGGCACAGGTAATCAATAACACACAGCGATACTGTGAAGGTTTTTGGATCAAACCTAATCCAACACATCACCAGGCCCAATGGCTGTGCCTTGTATACAGTAAATTCTCAAAAACATTTGCTGAATTAATACAATTCATGGATGGCATTTCTTTTGTTATTTGCTCCTAAAATTAACTCTCCAAAGCTTTCTATTTCTAGTAGAAATATAATTTTAAAACTCAACAATTTAATTCTTAATCAGCCACATCTCAACATCAAAGCCAGATCCACTGATTTCAGAATGAATAGCAATCTAGTGTCAGTGATCAAAAGACATTCTACGAGGAATACTTCCTTCACAGTTAGACAGCTCTGATGTCTACAGGACATTCAAGACATTGAACAACTCCATTTTTCATATCTTCATACAAAATAAGACATAGCAATCTATAATTTGTATAATGTATTATTGCAAAACAATAAAAAGTAGTAAATAAAATAATATATATAGACATATACATACACACATATATCTCATTTAGTAGACTTAGTAGACTTGAGATCTCTCATCTCAGTGAGAGAAGTAAGCTATCCTGAGTGAGGCAGGCCTTGTGTCTACGTCACAACCGCCAGATGAGGCAGGGACCACACAAGCCCCCATCCTGCCCAGTGGATGCTCCGTGCTAGGAATGTTGAGATCACTATTAATGGCAAAGCTTTAAAACAGTAAAATTTTTCTGAAACCAAAGACTAACCATAATACATCATGGCATGGCAGCACCTAGGAAGACAGTGGCCAGTATTTGTGAAGGGAATGTCCTGGGGCCGTTCTCAGCACAAGCCCCTTTGGTAACTTCCCCCCACTTGTTCTGCTTCCTGCAGGGTGAGACTTCCTTGGAGTTCATCACTCAGACTTCAAACACTTGACAGAAGAAAGAGCATTTTTCTTAATTAAAATTCAGGTTATCTTAAATCATCTCAAAAGCTTTTCCCTCATACTTAAACAGGACAACTGACCATTCACTCATTCGGCAAATTGGTTAATAGAAATGTTAATGAAATTACTGCTGACTATGGGAGTGGTATTTAACTATAATTTAGTGAGATTATTCATATAACAATAAGTCTTTAAAAATAAAACACATTTTCTAGAAATTCAGAAACAATTTGGTCAAATACTAAAGGTTAGTTTTAATGCCACTATGGCACAAAGTATAAAAATGACCTTTAAAATAAAATATAAGGTAAATATGACTTTAAGTAAGACTATGCCTTTAAAAATTTCAATATTATGGCTTTTCATAAAATAAGTGAATAAAAATATGCCTACTACCCTGAATCCAACCATTCTATATAGGAAAAGATCTACTTGAACTAATGACAGAATATTTTAGTATTTTTAAAGGCAAAGGTAATCGTTTCAAACATCTAAGAGTAATTTACTTCAAACCAAATACTTCTCAGTCAATAAATACTAATTTTGTATGTCAAATGTATAGGCTTGGAGGAATGAAAATGGTGGTTGTCTTCAATTCATTAAGAAGCCTCTGAGGATTTATTTACTCATGCCTTTTTCAGGGTTTTCCCAATTAGTTTCAAGGCCAGCCTCATACATTCTGAGTTTAATGATCACAAAATTTACATTAATGACCTCAAAACCAAGGTCGTTTCACATCATATATATTACAGTATTAGGAAAAGTTAACAGAATTATAAACTGAACCGTGGTCCTCCAAGAATAGCCTAGGAATAAGTAAGGAGTCTAAAGCTACCAGCAGAATGTGCTTTAAAGAGACAGGGAATAGTATGAGACTTTGGATTAGGAAACTGGTTTATAAAATAAAGCTTGCGCTATTAATTCAACATGACATATCTCAGGTAAGTAAAACTAGCAGAGAAAGTCTTTCTCTTTTTACTTCTTTCTTTTCCCTTAAATAGTAATAAAAACAGATGAAAAATCCCAGTCTTCTCCAACTCTTTGCACCTTTAATATTATTAGTATTTTAAATTTGGTAATATTAGAAATTAATATTAGAAAAATTTATAAGAAGTGATGGATGCTAAAGATGTTATCAACTGTGAATTTCTAGTTACAAATTATTTTTGAGTCAGATCCCATGGTAAGATCCAAAATGCCTATGAATGACCTTCCCTTTTAGGTGAAGACAGGCAGCCAAGTGAGAACTAGAAGAACAGGCCGTGGGCTTTAGCGACAGTGAAGGTGCACTGAATACAGCGGATAATAAAGCATTTACGTAAGCAGATTCTATAAACTCAAGGCCAATTACCTGCCCGGTGTCACATGGAGGAACATCATGGTATTGAAAAAATTATTGTTATCCATTCATCTATGAAGTATTTTTTACTATTACCACTGTTTCAGAATTAAGGTCGAGTTTTACACAATGTACTATCTTCAACTGTTACCTTCAATTACAAGAACTGCGACAGTGTCAGGTAACCTCAAAATGTGCATCCAGAATGGTAAAATGTCCAGGAAAGCATGGGATTTTCATATATTAAAAGCATTTCACATACTTCTGTTCACTTTTGTTTTCAAGTAAGATGTATAATTTAATAATGCATGCCACATAACTCCAATTTATAAATAATTGGTAATATTACGAGAATTTTATATTAACAAAGGAAAGCAGTATAATGTATTAAGTATACAGGCAGAATTTTTGGATTCAAATTTGAGTTCTTGTCAACCATGAGACTTTGTACAAGTCACAGGGCCATTCTTTGCGTTGGTTCCTCAACTCCATAGAATGCACATGATAAAAAAGAGTACCAGGTGATATCCCTGCTCTGAGGAGTAAGTGAAACAGTAACCACAGAACATGGGCGAAGCCACTGGCAGTGCTACTGGGCGCATGGTCATCACTGAGTGCCGGCTACGATTGTTATTGAAATTACATTGGCTGATGTCAATACGTGTATAAGCAATTACTGACTTTTGAGTATTTAGTTAGTACCAAGCACTTGGATAAACGATATACTTAGGTTTAACCCTAAGAATAATGTTGAGCACATTAGTTGGTCCTTAAAAATATGTTAATTTATAAATACCATGGTAGCTGACAATTTGCCTGGTGAAATACAGCAAAGCACTACTAATTGTTCCAGTGAACCCGTCACACCTCTATGGAGGATCACTGCTTCCAGGATGGTGACAGAAACCAGTAATCACAATAGGAAGACGACTGGTCCACCAGTTGTGTTCATTCGTTAGCCATACATGGAAAGTTATCACATTTCCAAGACAGGAAAATCACAAATCACACAGGCCTTCAGCATCACTTGCCAGTACTCTGACAGTCAAGGATATATACTTACTACAGATATTTATGTAAAGGTTATATAGTCATTAAATTTGAATGTCCAGCTTTTTCTTTGAAAGTTCTAATGTTGGCTTCCTTGGTATTCATTATAAGTAAGGACTTACTGCAAAAGTATCATATCAAGTGCTTCTGTGCCAAAAAACAATTATTACCTTAATTAGTAGTATATACACGTCACATACATATGTGATGAAGTATTTATTGTTGTTATTCAGTACATAACTCCTTATGTTGATGGTTTTTCATAATAGTTTGAAAGCCACTATCAAATTTCATATATTAAAATTTAATAATGGTTTATATATATTTTAGTTAAGAAAAGCATTTCACATGCGAGTCTAAATCCATACAATTATCCTAATAAGATTGTTTTAATGGTTTTGAAAATTATGGATTTAAAATCAGTATTACTGTATTCACTATACTAAAAACGTTATTGTATCAACATAGAAGTGATAGCATTACATACACTTTCGAATGAGGCTAGAATACACCTGTGGTTCTATAAAATTATTAAGGTCCCCAGTAGTCCTATTAAAGTACAAATAAAGCTTTACTTTCATATGTTATACACATACTCTGATAGAAAAATTCTCACGATAGCGTATTCTTTTTTAAGAATCTGACATTTCATATCACAGCCTTCATAAAATTAAGAGTTTTAGTTATCTAGGTTAAAGGTTGAGTTTTTAAATGAGTTTCCTTTTCTCCTCTGTACCCTGGTCCTCCTCCCTGTCCCTCCCTGGTACCCAGGGCCACCAATGGCATAGCACCCAGCCCAAGGAAACCAGGCCCACTGCAGAGACCAGGGACAGCACAGGGTGGTGGGCATTGTCCATGAGCATAAAGTAGACTCAAAAACAGCTGGAGGGAAATTTACCTCAATCACTTCTCTTCCTTTACTCAGAAATAAGCCCTCAGAGAAGGGGTTCAGCTTTCTCATCTGTCACACAGAAATGACTGTCGCTGATGCAGGTGGTGTTTGAAGATCTATGCCACTGGGTCTGTACTGTCCTTAATGCTTTTTCAGGAGGATTTTCAAAGTGTGGCCACGCTTCCTCAAGTGGTACTGTGCATTATTACAGGTGCCCACTTGGGGAAGAGGAAACCAAACATGATAAAATAATTTTAAAGAGCAGAAGGGGAGGCACATTGGTCAATTTTTTAATCTTTGATATTTTTTTCTGTAAGTTCCAAGGATGGATTTTGCCCTAACGATGGGTATTTGCTATCAATACCTAAGGAGATCAGTCTGTGAAGCTGAAGCATCTGAATCAATGAACTATCCATTCCCAGCATAAATATGTGTATCCAAGTACAAACTGAACACCAGTTATTTACACCCGGGTGAAAGATTTAGAGAAAAAAATAAAAGTCTTTATCTTCAGCGGAGAAAGTTTAACCAGCCTGCAGTTTGTCTAGTCCAGCACCAAGAAGCTTCTGGCTGCCGGGTTCCTTGAGAATCCTTTTCACTCTTCTCCAGCTGGGGGAGGCGGCTCGCACAGCTTGTACAGCCTAGAAAAGGACGGGAGAGTCTGACAGTGGCCCAGTGTGTGACCATTACTTGAGGTGTCTTTACGGGTAGAACAAATGCATTGACAACAATTTCTTGGTCTGTGAGTCATGATCACATTGTCTGTTTCACTAAAAATAGCAAACTCCAAAATTTCCACTCTGCGATTTAGAAATCACCAATGCCTCCTTGCACATCTCAATGGCTGGTGATGAGGCCACACTGCACTTTTTAAACCTGCTGCTTCTGCTCTGTGGCTGCCAACACAAGCTGTTCACTGAGCTGACAGTAAACTCTATTCTCCAAATTCCAAAAAGTGGTATTATTATGATAATTACTGTCACATCTAGCGTGATTAACTTGTAGCAAGATAGCACCTATCTCAGAGAAGTTTACTGATTTTCTGCCTAGTTTTAGAAATGTACTTCATTTTGTACTATCAGCTTGCTGCAGGCAGTGGGCTGTGGGTAGAGAGGCTGAAGATTTCTGAGGCCTGAATCTCAAAGGCACAATTAACTGGTGTTTTCGAAGGACTAACTGCCCAGCCCCACCCACCTGTCTGTGGAATCTCCAAGTGGTTCAAGGACTTGAACCATGGAGATGCCTGGGAAGGCTTCCCCTGTGCGGGCAAGGTCTAGCTGTGTGAGAGAATACAGCATTAACAGAAAGCTCAGGGGACTTAACTAGGGTTACACAATTTCTGTCCCACATTCTCCTGAAAGGTTAAATGCTAACTCCAAAACCAAAATAAATGAGAACATAACAGCTGCCAGACAGTCCTAGTGACCTCAAGGCCATATGCATTACTCAGAGTGTATCCTGAAAGGAGATTGATCTGCTGACCCAGAGAGGCTGGGTAAGACTGAGACTGTTCTCAACAGCGCCCAGGGCCACACTGATCCCACTGTGGTGCTTAGATTAATGACCTCAAAATATAAGGGGCAGATTTCAACTCTGCACCTTTAAAAGCACTACAAACCCAAGGCTAGCTGCAGTGATTCTGTCCC